ATCTCAGACTCTGTCTCTCTATCATCTATATTCTGTCTATCCTGTCTATCCTGTCTGTCTGTCTGTCTGTCTTATCTCTGTCTCTCTCTGTATCATCTATATTCTGTCTATCTTATCTATCTATCCATCCATCCATCCATCCATATCTATCTGCCTGCCTGCCTGCCTGCCTATTCCCTCTCTTCCATCCCCCTTGCTCTCCTTCCCCCACTCTCCCTCCCTCTCTCATCTATTTTCTCCCTCCCTGTCTCTCGTTTTATTACCTTGCTTTGCTTCACTTCACTGGAAAAAAATTGCCAAATCTACCAGGTTTCAAATCTGCAGTGAAATCAATTTATACGGATGATACTCTGAAGTGTTGCTTGCACAAAGGTGGAAAATTAAACCAGAGGCCTTAACGGTGAAATTGACTAAGAACTTTTGAAATTAAAAGATCGTCTTTTCCCCAACATGGTGGGCAATATAATTGATTAAAAAATGGAGGGGGGGAGCAGAGGAGAGTCAGGGAACACCCAGAATCCCCCAGTCAGTATGTTTTAAGGTGTCTGGATTTCAACTCCCAGAATTCCCCTAGCTAGCATGCTTTAAAATGAGTGCAATTTTGGGAGCTGAAGTCCACCCATCTTAAAGTTACCAAGTTTGAGAAACACTTATTTAAACAATCATGTTTAACAAAAATTGCCCCCCAAAAAGAACATATACACCCTAGGAGGGCATGGGTTATGGACGAATAGTCCAACCTCATTTTACAAGAGTTGAAATTTAAAAAAATTGAGATTTTTAATGCTCTATATGACATGGTCACTTTTCCACAGAAGCACCTAGATTTCCCCGCAAGGAGCTGGAATCGGCCTGTTTCTTCCGCAAAATAAGATCTGGCATATTTCTTGGTGGAGGGGAGATATAGAAAGCTGCCCCATTGGGGGGGTTTCTCTGAGGAAAAATACAGCCAATTTTCAGTGGCTCTCAAGTCACTCTGCCATCTTGTTTATCTCTGCCCAATGACGCAATATTAAGTTCATTTTCCAGTTCACTAGTTTCTTATTCCATTCGTAACCTCTCTGGCTATCCATACCGCTGCGGAGGAAATTTCCCTCGCAGTAACATTTTAACTAGCCCGGCTGAAGTTTTATATAAAGCCGGATGGGCCTCACCCCAAAGCATAGGGCCAAAAGGATATTGGTTGGGGAAACAGCAGAAAAGCTGCAGAATCGAGGTTGCCCAATTGCAGATTTGACTGGCCCCAGGGAGCTCTCCACTGCTTTGCCAGCTATAAGATTATCAATTTCCAGAAACCGACTCCGCCGTCTCATCTCTCTGCGACGCCATGACGTTTGCCGATATTTTGGACAATGTCGGAGGAATGGGCCGCTTCCAAAGGATGATGGTTTCCTTCCTAGCCATCCCACTGATGATGCTGGCCAGTCATAACCTCCTGCAAAACTTCACAGCCGGCATCCCGCAGCATCACTGCCAAATCCGCATCGCGTCCAACGCCACTCGTCAAGGAAATGGTACCATGGGAAATTTGGGAGCCCATCAGTTCCTCAGGATCTCCGTCCCGATGGACGCGAACCGACAGCCTGAGCAATGCCGGCGTTTCACGGCCCCGCAGTGGCGGTTCCTGGACCCAAATGCGACTCTTAGCAACGAGACGGTATTTGACACTGAAGCCTGTGAAGATGGATGGACTTACGACCGGAGCTTGTTCAGCAACACGATTGTCAGTGAGGTGAGAAAGAAACCATTTTTTGGTTTGAAAGGGATGAGAAAAGTTTAAATATCTTAGAGTAGTGTTTAGCAACTTTAAGATGGGTGGGCGTCAGCTCCCAGAATCCCCCAGCCAGCATGCTTTAAGTGGGGTGGACTTCCACTCCCAGAATTCCCCATCCAGCATGCTTTAAGAGGGGTAAATTTCAACTCCCAGAATCCCCCAGCCAACAATGCATGATCAGGGGGGGACTTGAGATCTGCAAAAATTCTCAATGGTTTTGGTTCTCTCTTCCCAAAACTATTTTCCAGTGGAATCTAGTGTGCGAATCTCGGTCCCTGAGACAAATGGCACAATCTCTTTACATGGCTGGCGTCTTGATTGGATCGCTCCTAATCGGAAATCTCTCGGACAGGTGAGCAGTGAGAGTCAGCGTGGTGTAGGGGGTTAGAGTTTTGGATTAGGAGTGGGTGTAATGGTGTGTGGGGAAGGCCTCGGGAGACAGGCAGAGAGATGCTGCCAAGGGAACGGTGAGATAAAAGGCAGCTGAGCCCTCAGCGGCGTAATGGATGCAGAAAGAGGTTCAGAAGGGACCCTCCCTAGTTTCTCAGGCTGTAAAGTGGGGGGGAGAATATAGATCTATGGACAAGAATGTGAGCAAGTATGTGTAATGGTATGTGAGAAGACCTTGGGAGTTGGAGTGAAGAGACCTGTCCAGTAATGGTCAGAAAAGAGAGCATAGGTCTCAGCTATGTAACAGACAGGGCAAGAGGTTCAGAAGGGACCCTCCCTAGTTTCTCAGGCTGTAAAGGGATGGGGAGGAGAATCGAGATCTACGGAAAGAGTTCAACCTTATTAGACTGTGCAACGATATATGGGGAACACCTTGGGAGAGGAAGCAAAGAGATACTGCCCAGGAATGGTCAGATAAGAGGCAGTATAACGCTCAACTGGTAGGACAAGAGGCTCAGAACAGACTCTCCCTAGTTTCTCAGTCCGTCAAGGAGATGGTGGGTATGGTATGTGGGAAAGACCTTGGCAGAAAGGCAGATAAGAGAGAGCATAGCCCTCGGCTGCATAATGGATGTAAAAAGAGGTTGGATGGGACCCTCCCTAGTTTATCAGGCAGTAAAGGAGTGGGGAGAAAATCTAGATCTAGAGAAAGAGTTCAGAGTGTGTGCAAGGATATGGGGGGAAAGACCTTGGGAGACGGAGCAAAGAGACCCTGTCAGATAAGAGACAGCACAGCCCTCAGCTGTATAACAGGCAGGGTGAGAGGCTCACAAGAGACCCTCCCTAGTTTCTCAGGCTGTAAAAGCAAAAATACCCGGTTCGAAACGTGACTATAATGTCTGTTTCTTACAGGTTTGGCAGGAAATCCCTGATTGTTTGGTGCTATCTGCAGATGGGGGTGGCCGGAGCTGGCACGGCCTTTGCGCCCAACTTCACCATCTATTGCATCCTCCGTTTCCTGTGTGGCATGGCGATGTCCGGCATTTCCCTCAATTCAGTTTCTCTCTGTGAGTCTCCAGCGTTTCTCTCTTCCCCACCGGTCAAAGCTCCCAACCCTTTGGCTCTGTTCTGCAAAATGTGCTTTTCCTTTTTTCCCTTCCTCAATTTTTTTTGGGGGGCGGGAATATATGTGTGTGTGTGTGTGTGTGTGTGTGTGTGTGTGTGTATGGTCAATAGGGCCCAGCAGAGATTATACTACCTGAGGCTTCTCAGAAAACAACAACGGAATGGAAAACTTCTGGTGACCTTCTACCGCTGCAGCAGAGAGAGTATCTTAACTCACTGCACCTCTGTAGGGTTTGCCAATTGCACAGGGGCAGATAGGACAGCAGTCCAGAGGGTGAATGTCATTGCCCAGAGGATCACGGGTTGCCCTCTGCCCTCTTTGGAAGAGTTTTATAGCTCCCGCTGCCTTAGGAAAGTTCAAAACATCCTCAAAGATCCATCTCATCCTGGGAACCCTTTTTCTGAACTATTACCACCTGGCAGACGGTACAGGATAATCATAAAAACAAGGACAAATAGGCTGAAAAACAGCTTCTATCCCAGGACAGTAACTCTATTAAATTTTACTGTATAGTGCAATATGAATGCAATATCAGGGGATTTCAATTCAATGTGGAGGGTGAAGGATGTGTGGTTGTCTTCATGGTCAAGATGTACACTGAAGTTGGTGTTTGATTTCATTGTACGAGGTACAAGGACAATAAAAAAATAAAGGTAAACTAAACTATATGTAAAGGTATACGTATACATATATATGTATGGTATTCAGCTTTGTTTGGATATTTTCCCACGTCATTATAGTTGTGCTTTTAAAGTTGTAGCAACGTTTCGGCAGAATCTCATCTGCCATCATCAGTATTGTGTTGTGTTCGTCTGAATATCATACATATAAATACCCGCGAAAACTTAAGAAAACATATATACATATACACACATACACACATACACACATACACACATACACACATATACACTACACACACACACACACACACACACACACACACACACACACACACACA